AAATCATTTGTCAGAATTCGGAATATTGAGTTTGTTGGAATCCCTGTGGTTTTAGAAAGTTCCTCACATGTCGCATGATGATCATCTTCATGAGCATCTGACACAAGTTTCTCATGTCTTTCATCTGTTGATGTTTTCGGCATTCCTGGCCTTGGATCATCTCACACGACTGCCACGAAAACGACTAGCTGAGCGAGAAACTGTACTACGGTCTAGTGTTAACTCGCCACAAACTTCACTTAAAGCACTGTGGATTTGTGTTGGGTTTTTTCCACGTAAAGTTTAGATTTTAATGTACGACCTTTGATCTTCAACAGTCACAATACCCGAGAACCATGCAGGCTCCATTTCTAACTCACGTTATTTAAGAACAGTACATTATAAATGAAACAAAATAATGCACGTCTTTCTCAAGCCCTGAACTGTAACGGGTGTGAGGCTCACTGTTGTTGTGTCATCTAATCCGCAGCGTTGTGAACCTGTGCATTTATGAAATTACTCACATATGTAGGAGAGGGATCAATTCAGGGAGAGTGCTATGGTTAGGTCATATGGCACAAATGTGAGAATGATAAACGTATAGCAAGCGTAGACTGAAAACTTGAAAGAATGAAACCATTTGGGAGACATTTATGCAGATGCATTATCAAGATATAATTTTGGGTTGTTTGGACTTCGTTTTTTGTCAGGATGCAAAGTCATGATGGGCATGTGTGAACACAGTAATGAGCCCTTAAGTACCATAAAGAGCAGACATTTTCTGCCCACAGGGACTGTTAGTTTTTCAGGAAGGTCAGTGCGCTATGATGTTAATACTTGTCAAGGATTTTGAAGTCTACTTGTCAAGGATTTTGAAGTCTGTAGATAAGAAATCTGCACAGAGTAGCTGTTGTGTGTTAAATGTCATGAAAAACAGCGTAAATTGTATGGTGTTATAGAGCCATGACTGATAAAAGCTATGATGTCTTTACAGAACTGTACAAATTCAAAGATCATTTTAGTGGGTCCATATGGTGAGACATACCCA